GATCAACTGTACTGTGCCGTAAGGGGAGCGCCCTTTGCTCGGTTTCTCTACATAATCCATTCACAATTTGAAGAAAAGTTCTGTTTGTCTAAGAGGACCAAACGTCCACGCATAACGTTTCAGGAATGACAAACGCGAATGTTAAATTTATGCGAGTGAATCCGTTAAATCATGCCGCGAGTCATTGCTATGGTTGACAGTGGCAACGGAATGAATCATCTGACCAGCCGATGTCAAAATAGAGCTGTGCATTAAGTAATTCAGACTAACAAAACTACAGCAGCAACAAGTCTGTGTTGGATAAAACTTAAACGATGTAGTTATTAAATTAAATCTAAACATTTCAAAATATTGAATGCATTATTTAATTGTTATACCAGCTTATTTAATTTGTATTTAACTATATAGGTATTTAAATAATTTAGCATTATAGGCTGCTGTCTGGCCTTATTTATTTTTTTAAATGACAAGTGACTTTGTGACTTCCTGCACTTGCTATACTTTATACTTCAGTGCCATATTTATTTTATAATAAATCAAAAAGCAAGACGTGAAAAAAACTAGGGAGTTGAAATGGCAGCTGCAGCCAATCTATGAAGGTAAGATATTGATTATCAAGAACACCATTACAATGTTGTTTAAGAGATTAGCCTAACTGCCTAAACAGTTACCATAGTGTTTATTTGTCAGCATTTAAATGTACAGTTACCTGTCAGGGTACTTTCCTGGGATTACCAGACTCTGCATATAAAATTATATGCTCTTTAATACCATGAAACTGTATGTTAATTCCGCTATCATTATTTACGGGGTTGCAGTTATTTTGTTTCTCAGTTTCTGATAAGAATGAGGCAGGAGAGGTTTCTGTGAGAGTCTCTACCTATATATAGCACATATAAAATGAGCTTCACCGGAAGATTACGAGCTAGCTTATCTTTATCCGGAAGTTCTAAATAGGGCTCCGTGCATATGGTCAACTGATTCCCATTCCAGTGTTCTGGACATACACAAGCAATGTTATTTGCCACCAACACAAATTCACCACTAGCAGTCAGAATCAAGATACTCGTTCCTGGTTTCTATCATTCATAACATGCCTTATGTGAAACTAATTTCTAGAGTGGGTCGTTTATACGTGACCATCAAAACCATATTACCGAACTGTCCCACAGATTGTGTCAGAATTGGTCTGCAAGCTAGTGGGGTACTGCTAACCAAACAGTTTCACTTTTAACACCGCATTACTAAACAAATCAAATCAAATATGCCCCAAGTCGTCTTACAAATGGTTTAAATTTCAATGGATGATTTCGATTTCCATAAAATAAAAGCAAAGGGAACACTAAACAGGCCAAAATCAAGTGGAAAAACAGTAAATATATTATTAAACC